TTAACAAACCACACAAGTTAGAAATACATCTTAGATCATTTACACAATTCATTTTGAATAAATTACTGCCCATTACATAAACAATAAGTTCTCCAGTCTGCAGCCATCATGATGTCACAAACTCTTTAAGCAAAACAGATATTTGGCTAAGAGGAGTCTAAGCTGGGTTCATAAAGAATAGTTTTAAAACAGCAAGTTTTTATACAAAAAGACAGGTTTATAGTGTCCTCTACACAGGGAGCAATAAGGTCAAAACCTCTCAGGAATAAAAAGGCTGGAAAACTATCAACTGAGCCTGAAAAGGGTTTTGTGACTTTTTTTTTTTTTAGAAAAAATAAAAAATAAATTCCAACAAAGAAATTCACATGCAAAGCTTGAAAATAAGACATGACTGAAATTCCTGACTTCATTCTCTCTCCTTTGTTCCAACATTGAACTAATTACATTTTTGTTGTTATTGAGATTTGGAATATTTAGAGGAGTTTCATGTCTTGTCTCTACAAAACTTGCAATATAAAAATTCACTGGAACCTTGCAGACACAATTTTTTTAAATTCAGTTGTTGTTCAAGGTCTTCATTTTTAAACTCCAGACCAATAGGTGGCAATAATGCACATTTTCCTACTACTTATCAGAACATACATTTTAATAATACATTCCTCCTAATCTGTATGTTCCTGTGTGTGAATGATGAATTGTATTAGTTTTAATCATATTTTGCCAGTTGAGGTTAGTAAAAGTGAAACTAAGTGTGCATATCTTACATCAATGACCTAACCTCCTGGAGTACCAATTAGCAGGGTGCTGTTTATACATTCACATTAAAAGTAGAACATGTTTTTGTCACAATTAGAAACAAATCAAACACTGAAAAACAAAGGAATGTATGAAAATAATTGGAGCCCAAGGGGTAAAATTTGTTCTTTTGAAATAATTACTCTTATTGTGTGCCAATATTGAGGCACAGAGAGAGAGCAACAAACCTCTTTCCAGTTATCAAATGCATTGGGTCTGCGGAAGAAGGTGTATTCTATGCATGTCGACACTCTGACTGCTTGCATAATAAGTATCTCAATCTTCATCCTGGTAAAATATTTCTGCCAGAGTTCTCCACTTACTCACCTAGTGGGCTGAAGATGGACAGTGTCACCATGATGACTCCTTATTTTGTAGTCCTCTCCCAGCTGTTTGCTGTGGACTTAGTTCACATTTCACTATCTGCATAGGAGAGTTTCTACATAGTCTTACATTTAAGGAATGAAAGAAACACAAATATTGATAGATAGATTGATAGATTGATTCAGTTTTCAATTGTAGTTTTTCTGTTTTCAGATTATGGAGCTTGGTGGAGCAGAGTGACTCTAGCTGATTTGTCTTCAGTACCAGTGATGCTTCAATTCAGTTTGACGTTGTTTCAGGTGAGTTGCACAGCACAAAGTCAACTCTGTGCTGTTGAAAAACACTAACAGAAAGTTCTGGTTCTGTCCACCTTTCTTCCCAAAAGGTGTCCCACACAGCAGAGATCAGCGATAGTTAAGAATTCTCTGTGCTTTGTTCTGCCCTTACAAAAAATCCCATGAAATTCACATTACATGCACCACATTACAATCACATATAAATGTTTACACATGAATGACATGAGAATGTTGTGAGACACATGTAAAAGCACATGTATATGTGTGATTCTGGAATGCTTCATGGTAAAAACCCACGTGATCACATGGGAATTGCATGTTTTCACATGTGCATCCCATGTGTAACACATTTAGAATATATGATATACATGTAATGCACATGTGTATCATGTGATCCACATTTTTTACATGTATATCACATAAAACATGTTTATGACATGGTGTATATGTAATACACATATGAAAACGTGATACACATATAAAATGCATAAATGATCTGAACTTATATAGAGTTTTTCCAATCATTTTGACCACTCAAGCGCTTTAGAGTGTCATTCACCCATTCACACTCACAAATACACATTTATACACTGATATGTAGATCGATAGGTAATTTGAGCTTAAGTGCCTTGCCCAGGGGCACATCAACATGTGGTGGGGAAAGCTGGAATCGAACATTTAAGACAGTAAAATATGATACACGTGATATATAAAATATATAAAATCCAGGTGTATCACATGTAATAAACATGGCGGGTACACGTGATACACATGTGAATCTGATGTGAAAACATGGGTTTTTACAATGAAGCATTCCAAAATCATACACAAACATTTTACATGTGTCTCACATCAATCATATGTGAGAATTTGTATGAACCAAGCGTAAAATTTTTATGTGGTACATCATTTTCAGATGTGATTTTTGCATGTAAAATAATGAGATTTTCTTTTACATATTCAGTACAATCATCAGATCTTCACAAAGAAAAAATGTGGTGCATATGAGAAACATGTGATCACATGTTGAATAAACTATGGATCATATAAACAAAATACTTTATCACATGTGGAAAATGGAAACTACATCTGAAATTCATGGTTTTTTTTTTTCAAGCTTGGCATCACTTTATAAAGTTACAGTGCAGAATGTTGCATCCGGCACAGGAACATTCTGCATGTGTTCAGGCATAACAATGTTACATTTGTTTGGTGGTATGGGTTAGAGGCCCTCTGATCTCACACCCGGGTTACATTATGGGAGCGTGGTGGTGGCTTTGGAGGTGTCAGTGGGTTGTTGGAGTTATGGAAGGTTTGACGAGAAGGCAGAGAATGAAAATAGTTTATAAACGTAACATTACTGTGTTCCAGAGGGTTTTCAGCCTTAGAACTGCAGCTACACTGGAGATGGGTGGAACTAATGAGGACTTACCTCAATAGTTCGCAGTACCACACTGTCCAACCCGGTCTTCATTCTATTCAGACGTGTCTTTTCCATCAGAGGCCTTGTTTAATATGATTGTCAAAAAGTGTTCCCCCCTGACGAATATTATCATGTCAGTCTTATATGAAAAGTACTAACTTTTTCCTTTGCTCTCTCTCTGCCTCTCTCTCTCCATCATTGCCACTCATTCCCTTAGTTTCTTTCCCAGTGGAGAGAGAAGGCAAAGAGACAAAGAAGGTAAAGAAAAGTGAGTGAGTTCTGTTTGAGTGAGTGTAGCTTGTTGCCAAGTCTGGCTACACTACAAAGGTTAGCACATCTGACTGTCAATAGTATCTTGTGGGTGGGAGGGAATGAGGGAGGAGACATGGAGGTGAAATGGTGGAGGGAGGGGGCGGTCGCTTTGAGAGAAAGAGATACTTTGATATTTCGGAATGTTAGAAGGGTGAATGTGGAGAACAGGAGGTTGGGGATCTAATTACCGGGCCATAATTGGGGGCTGGGGAATAGGTTGCCGTCCTCTCAACTCACTGCAGATCAATTATGTTAAGAGAACATCTGTAAGTAGTGCTTAATGAGGTCCATTAGAGCAACATGCGCTGCCTTCCCTAACGGTGCTTGTCAGCTTCTTGGATGAGCTGGAGTGTGCTGCCGACTGGGGACCTGGTAGAGGGGCTTAAATAGGAGGGGAGGCTCAACATTGTACCGCTTTTTCTGTCAGAAAACCAAAGAGACACAGAGATACAGGGCAGGGAGAAGGAGAGAAGGCAGCAAAGGGGGAATGGAACGACTGTGAGCAAAATCCAGGATCTGCACTGTTTGATAGTGTGCTTTCAAGTCTGCTTGGCTGATTTTGAAACCATCTTCTAAGTTTGGTTGCTAAGTTTTCTCTAGAAGATCAGGAATTCACTCAATTTGAGAAAGTTGCCTCGTGGACAGTTTGTCTCCAAGTTAGGAACATCCGCAGCAGCATCCCTAGGCTCCCCTGGCTGCATCCCATTTCAAGGTAGGAGTCTCTGCCCTTTTCTCAGTGCAAGGACACAGACAGGACACCACTACTCCTCCGTGATAACCTAAAATCACACCAGGCTTGACCAGAAACTGTCTTCATCATCCATTTCCCCAGAACGAATGTAAGGTTTGGTGACCTGTTAGGACACAGAGAAGAGCTGGGGTCATGAACAAAACATACCTCCCTCTATCTCTCTCTCTCTCTCACTGTTCATCTCTGAGTGGATGGCAGGATCCTGGTGTTTCCAATTGATGTCGCCTTCTGTCTCCTTCTTCCATTCACAATGAGGATGACTTAGCTAATTGAGGGTAGAAGGGAAACGGGAGAGGTGTGGGAGCCCATTCTCCCACGCACACACACACCTCAGCAAATTGGATGATTACCGAGATAGGCAGTCTTAAAATAATTCAATCCATGACAAAACCTAATTACTGGCAGGTAATACCCTGTCAGCTTTAATGCATGTCATCACTCATCACAGCACGCAGAGAGCATTTTATGACCCATCTTATTACCGCTGCAGTTTAGGCTCAAGCCGCATGCCAACTATTGACTTGTGTCTCCTCCTACTGCCGTCTCCTCCTTCTGTGTGCTGGAGCGTTAAGAGAACAACCAGCATTTATCAGGGCATTAGAACACCATGGGTGTGCAAAAGGAAGCTAGGAGGCTATTGAGGTGGGTGAGTGTCATAGTCAAAACTGGTTCATTAATGGATGAGCAACAGATTAAAAAAAAAAAAAAAGCAAAGCACTACTCAATTCTCTATCTCCATGAATGAAGAATCATGATCTCAGAATGAAGTGATATTGATAAGTAGACCAGTTGGATAAGTTTTACATAATTTTTTCATAAGTTTTACATGATTTTATTAGACTAGAAGTCCCACTTTCTGAAAAGCCCTTTAAAAAGCACACAGCAATGTATTCGTTTGAATGGAAACAGAAGACATGCTAAAGTAGTAGTAGTGTGGAGCAGTAGAGTGACCTGCTTATAATGTCCACCCTGAACAGAAAAGACTACCCTACCCCAACCCATAACCCTTACCCTTCCAACACTTTTAGGTTCATTGTTGATCTTTGAATGATCCCGAAAATGTTCAGGTAATCATTTCAGGAGTTTGAAGATTTGCCGGAGACAGTGTAGTCTTCATTGTTTCAGAACGAGGCCTCAATACTTCTTCACCCGTCCTGTTCATGTTCTGTAGACAAATTCGATGGTGACTGAAAAAAAAAGTTGCTTCAAATTTCTAATTTAGATGGCAAGACACGAAGCGTAGCCTGTGTTCAAATGAGAACAAAGTAAATGCAGAGCGTATTAAATGATGAGGATTGGGTTGGAGACATCCAGCCTGCCTTCCTGCCTTGTGGTGCGTTGAAAGCGCCGATTGGCAAAGCGGCGTGCAGCAGGAGCCGCTGTGATTAGGCTGGCTGCCGGATCAGATGGTCTCTGCATCGCAGGGGGTGGGGGAAAGCATCTCTTTGTCATCCTGTCATTTGCGGCCAGCACCTCTCTGCGCACAGGCTGCATCTGCGATCGGTGATAAACGTGCTCTCACACGCCATGTGAGCGGAGAGCAGCGGCAGCCTCGCTTCCAGCTCCTCCGCCTGCTGTTCCGTCGGCCGCTGCTTGCCTCGCTTCGCCTCTTCTCTCTCCGCCGCCGTGCTGGATTGTTCTGTGTCTAACAAAGCCCGGTCTCAGGCTGCTCGCAGACAGCTGCTCTCGGAACTCGGTGGCTTCGGGTTGAATGGTGGTGCTCCAGTGGCTCAGCAAATGCAGAAAAGGGAGCAAAGTTTCGGTAAGACGTTTTCTTTGGCTTTTCGTTGGTCGGGCGCCGGCGCAGGCTGCGCTTCGCGTGTTTCGGTGTTTTTCTGGAAGAAATTCCCCGCGTGTCTGTGGAAGGTGACGAGACCTGCATCTGCTGCTGCTCCAACCCTCCGCCACATCCACCGGCAGCCCTGCATGTCTACAACATCACACACACGGGATGCTGGTGCTCTGATGCCTATGATGAGGGGTTCGCTGTGTTTGATTGGAACACAAATTGGGTCTGGTTACAATCGCCATGATATTGGACTTAACTTACTGTGGGCTACCATAGCAACAGTAATTAAAGTGATGGTGAAATGTCAGCATCTTTTCACCGATCGCCCGGCAGCTGGATGGTCTGCTGGATGGAGCAGACGTGTCGGGCAGAACCCGGAGCCAGCAGCACCACAGCCCGGTACCGCCGGACTGTGGTGCTCTGTCTCACTTTATTACAAACTTCCCTTTCCTATCATAAAAGCCAAGTGAACAAATCCAGCCCATGGCTCTCACTCTCTACTGATTGCAAAGCAAAGAGGAGGGCGCAGACTCCTTCTCCCTGTGCGTTGGTAATGAGCAGCAGGACTTTGTAGTGCTAACGAGGGCGGACGGATCAGCGGTGCTTAGTGGACAGCAGCCGAGGCGCATTGCTGTCTAAATCCAGCCAATTAACAAATCAGCAGCCAACACCGGAACAAATGAGCTGACAATCCTGTTGCACACTTCTTTGATCCTGTGCACATTTGTTTTATTCAGATCTGAAGCCTGCAGTGGACTTTTTTTAGGCGGTAGAGAATAACTTTGAACAGCCTGGGGCAGCAGCATGCTCTGCACCTTTTAAGGACATTTCAAGATAGTTAACAACAGAGAAGCAGCCCAGATGTTTGCGTGATTTTCAGATTAAAGTTGCTTCACACATCATCAACCAGATGCCACATGAGCAACTTGTCTCCTGCCAGGAAATTAGCGTCAGTCACTTGCTCCAAGAAATCCCCAAAATTGAGGTGAAATTCAGGCATTTGTGTAATTAAAAGTGACCCAAACTACCGTACTTCATTTTAAAGAAGAAACAAGTTGTGCCCGTGTGCGTGCATGCTGAATGGGGGACAAAGAGGAGTGAGACTGTGGTGCTCCTCAGGGAATGGAAGGAGAATACTAATTTAAAGCCTCATTGTGAGGCAGCTCCTAGCACCCACAGGGCCAACAAAGGCTCTCCACAGTGAGCTGAGGCCAAACAATACACAGCACTGCTTGGAACCACGCCTCTTTACACTTACACACACACGCACACACACGTCCTCGCATACACATCAGGTCAAGTTAAAATGGGCCATATTGGAGGTGGTGGCTTTGTGTGTGTGCCTGTTGGTCTCAAAGGCAGTTTAAACAGAGCTGTGAGTTTGTTTGTAATGATCTTATGTTTCAGTGGACAACGCGCTCAGTTTACTCACACTGAAACAGTTTGTGTATGTTTTAGATTTCTAATTCAGTCTTTAAGCACTGAGATTAATAGTTCCTCTCACACAAACAATCTTTCACCTGGAGTAAAGCTGCAGCCGTGCAGTCGGCAAAAACCAAAACAAAAAAAACCCCAAAACTGCTGTTTGTAAGAAAAGCGTGAATCACAGGATGAGTTACAGTAAGTGACCCAAAGAAATCAGTAAAATGCAGACAATAAGGCTGTGTTAATGTGAACCATACAGGACGAGTTTGGTTTGATTTAAACAGATCAGTTCCTCCAGCAGGAACACATTTAGTCTGTTACTCCACTCCGAGAGAACAGAATGATTTTACAGGAGATAAATGAATGAATCACTTTTGGTGTGAAATGGATGGTCATTAAAGACACTTTTATTTTTTGCCAGTTGATCAGATTTACCTGAAAACATCCAAGACCAAATCTGTTTTTCAGTTTTCATTTTAGTCTTACAAATTCAACTGTAACTGAACTTATGTTAACCCAGCAGATGATTCATTATGGATTATATAGTATTTCACTTAAGTATACATGTCACAATGTCTACAGACAGTGGCTGTATTTTAGCTGTGACTTCAGTAGAATTTCATAAACATATTTTTTGTTAAACAACTTGTTAAATTGAAACAATATTTTACACTCCGGCCACTCCCTGACTTTAATTCTGCTCAGTGTTTTGTTGTGTGTTTTAAAAAAAACAACAGAACAAAAGAACAAACTGAAATAAAATAAAAATAAACAGTGAAATTGCGTTCTAGAGTGTTTCAGTGTTTCAGTGTTTGATGAGTTTGTCTGTGCTTCCAGGTATACAAATGCTCACTGTCCAGCCGGACGCAAAGCCAAAAGGCTGTGCCGGCTGCAACCGGAAGATCAAGGACCGCTACCTGCTGAAGGCTCTTGATAAATATTGGCATGAGGATTGCCTGAAGTGTGCCTGCTGTGACTGTAGGCTGGGCGAGGTGGGATCTACGCTCTACACCAAAGCCAACCTCATCCTGTGCCGGAGAGACTACCTCCGGTAAGAAACGCTGACGTCTTCTGACCGCTCTACACCTTACAGTTCGAAATGGTGCACAAAGCGCAAATTCACTGAAATTATTTTCCACTTATTTAGAATTTGGGTTTTTAAAGAACTTGAAGATGCTTCTTAGAAAACGGCTTTAAATTTTTCCAGATTAGTCTGCTGTGGAACTGCAGTGGCATGCACTTGGTTATTCTTTTCAGTGAAACTGATTTGTGTTTTGTTGCTTTGAAAAAAATCAGTTTATTTTTTTGTGTGTCTGTGTTTGTATTTTTTTGTAGTTTTGTGATAGGAGTGTAGTTATTTAAATCTGCAAATTAGGTCAAACTGACTAACTACAAGAAGGTCCAAATACTGTCAAAATGGCAAAAATCTGTCATGTTTAAAAATAAGCCTGAACCAAAGTAATGCTTTATTGTTTTTCAAAACATAAGCATTGTAAGAATTAGATACTGTTATCTATCTTAATTTGGAGTGCTCATTAACACAGCCTGCACTCTTCTTCCCTGCAACAAAACAGGAAATTGTAACTATGCGTCTGTGATGGCATAATTAGCAATTAGAATTCAAAAATTTTGATTTTTATTAATGTGTGCAATGAAGTAACAGTTAAAACAGCAGCCACAGAAGGAGACAGTAACTCCCTGAAACAGCAACATAAACATATTGTTAATGCATTTAAGGAAAATATTGAGTGATTTTGTCTTTGGAACACATTTTCTTTTTCCTTTGACACATTTTTGATACAATAAATCGAATCTTGTTTTTAATCACTTTTGTCAATAACATCTGTAAATTCTAAACAGCGTAAAGAATAGAAATTCACTTTAAAAAAATGGAGCATAAATACTGCTTGTTAAATTCTGGCAGATATTATTATCTTCATTATTTGAACTCTTCTGCCTGCTCACACATTGTGCTGAATGTTTTTCATCTGAATCGTCTCATTTTTAATAAGACGTTGTATCCAGTGGATTAAAGAAAAACATTAAGAAATGAAGAAAACCAAAATGAATCCAAAGAGTCATAAACTATGAAGTGATTTCTGGAAGGCTTTTAGCTAACCACATCGAAAGTCTGGTTAATAATCAGATAATGGGGAATCAATTCACATGGAGTTATCTTATTTATGGTGGATGTAAACAAAGTTAAAAGTAAAATGATAAGTGACACAAAGTGAGGCTGCAAAGTTCTCAAGATAATTTTCTGATGTTTTTCTGGAAGAGAAAAACTACTCTCCAAATGAAATTATGTCATGAGTTTACTTATTTTTTGGATTTAGCAGAATGAATTGAGTGAGCTGATGTTGTTTTGTTATAACATTTAAATCTGTGCCTTTATAAATATTAACTTTGCCCAAGAACTTGAACCTAAGAGGGCTGCTTTACATAAAGAGCTTGAACTGAGTGTGATTCATTGTGATTGAATATTTATTCTATTCTGGATTTTTTTTATTCAGAAAGAAACGTCACCAGTGTTTTCTTTCTTTTTTTTTAAATACCACCTTGGATCTGAAATTTCTGTCCATCATACATGCCAGTCTAAAGGCATAGATCGCTCTGTGCATAGGCATAGATTAATATTCATAAGCGTGCTTGTTGCCCAGATGTTTGGACCAACAGAGTACAAACAGAATGGCAACATCTGGAATGCCTTTTACACTGGAAGATGACGACAGCTGAAGAGCTCAAGTTTAACATGCATCATGTACAGAAACATGGTATAAATCAACGTAGTAAAACTCGACCCTAAAACAACTTTTTTTGTTGTTGATAAACTGTCTAAACAGGTTCTTTAGGATTCTGTCTTGATATTTCTGTGCAAAGTTTGACATTTTTTGTGCAGTTTGCTTAGTTTGCCTGAAACCGTCTTTCTTCTGGAGTTGGAGTAGCTAGCGTTGCCGTGGCATCTTTACAATCACAATCATACTTGTGATTGTAAAGCACAAGTATGTGCTTTACATACTTGTGCTTGTAAAGCACAAGTATGTATGTGATTGTAAAGCACAAGTATGTGCTTTACAATCACATACTTGTAAAGCTTCACTCAGCTTTACAAGTGAAGCTGAGTGAAGCTTGTAAAGCTTCACTCAGCTTTACAAGTATGTGATTTATTTGCAATGTTGACATGGAGTGGAATGGATCTGCTCTGCTCTGACTGTTGGTGAAGGTTTGATGTTGAACTGATGATTGTCAGACTGAGGAAGAAGGAGAAGCTAATGGAGGCTAATGGCCGCTCTCGCTGGTAGCTCAGGACAGACAAGTTGAAGCTGAGCTGCAGAGCGTTGTCACCAATAGCACAGTTTCTAGATTCATCACTAGCTGTTCTTTTGAAAAAATGTCACTAGGAGTCTGAAAAAATTGATAGTTAGAAAGTGGACAAGTTAACTGAGTTATTTTCATTCTACTCATAGCTCCACTAATCTCTTTAAAATAACAAAACATAAAAAACAAAACACTTTGATGTGAAGTCTTCTTCATATTCAGTACATTTTCAGTTGGCAAGTACCTATTTATGACCATTACAGTGTACATATCACATATTAATAACCTGAATCAGCAGATCACAAACAAAATCAGCAGTTCAGAGATGTTTCCCCCAAAACACACTAAACAGTAACATTATGAAGCGGCTCATGCAGTAGTCCACACAGCAACAGAACACAAATGGTGTCTCTGACGTAAAACCCTCAGTGATCTGAATGTAACGGATCACTGCAAACTTCCTCCGGTTGTTCCCACTGGAGCCTGTCATCGCTTCTCACACCACAATCAAACATGAGCTGAATCCACGTACAATTACAGCAAACAGAAAGATAATATTTCATTTAACATACAGATGTTATTGTCCTTCAAATAAGAATGTGGCTTATTTAAACACCATATAAATATGTTGATCGACCCACTGGGTTTTTACAGATGCCAGCATGAAGTTACTGTACTTCTGACTTGGTGGGGTTTTTAAATGGTAAAAATAATAGTGATGATAACAAAATAAGGGCACACAGTAGCACTGATACTCTTATTGAGAAAGTGCCACTGACTGCTGAGGTAAACTCGTGAGTGTCTGAATGTTCTGTGTTGTGGTGTGTTTACATTTTAAAGATAAGGGATCATGTCATGTATTGTACGTTCATATTTTTGTCCTGCTGAGAAAAATCATGAATCTGCAAAGATGTTGCAGTCGCTGGTCTGGCTCCTTTACACCGATGAAGTGCAGAGTACATAGTGGTGAGTTTGGCTGCATTTCTACAGTAAACTCCTCACTTATAAGCTCTTATCCAGCACTGATATTCCTCCATGTTCTGTTGGGGTTTTAAAGATGGAATAAAAAACCCTATCTCCATTCATACTCTCCCAATCACCTTGCTGTGAATCCCTCAGGCTTAAACAGCATTGTTTTGTTGCTACCATAATTCTGTTGAGAAATGGATTTGTCTTGTTCTCCACACAGATATTACCGCTGGCTTTCATTGTTCTGAATGAATATGGCTGTTGTAGGATTTTGACATCATTAGTGACGAGAGCCATTAAAGTTGCAGGGCAGGCATCCTATAAAAACCCGACTGATGCTTTTGAACCATAAAAAATGAAGTACTGACCTGCACATTCAATGTCTGTTGATGATTACAATAATGGCACTCATCAAAATGTTTGTTTTTGGTTTTCTAAATCTTTGAGTGCTTGTTGTTTTTTTATTACTTTGTATTTTTGTGTTTTTATAATGTATAGCACTTTGAACTGCCTTGTTGTTACAAATTAGCTTAATCTATTGATAATTACTCAATTGGAGGCTTTATCCTCTGATGGCAAAATAAAGTCAGTGCAGCTCCAAAGTCCATGGTCCTTTCAAAATCATAGATGAAATCTGCCTTATAGTTCTACATTTCAGATTTATTTTTGCTTTCTGAAAATAGAACATTAGAAATGTGACTGGGATAGTGCCAAGTCATTTTCATAAAAGAAAGATAATGAAGATTTTATGTGGCAAAGAAAGGCACAGAAGAAAGGGTTTGGTTATGCATTTGATGCTATGCATTGTGAAAAGAGATTGTGAAATTGTGAAAGTTCCATATACCCATATACTACAAAATGGACATATAACGGAATATAACCATTCCGTGATACAAGAATATAATAAAACAAGAATATAACAAAAAATGTTATGACAAATGAAGTATGCACTGGTATGGATTGGTACTGGAGTCTGACTCAGAGTTGGGAGAAGGGCAAACACCCATCTGACGGTGTCAAGTGCGCAGAAACTGAAAGAAGATAGTTTATTTGAGGATTCAGTCAAAACAAAGCATGCATCTATCTGCCAAAGAAAAGCATCTGTATATCCAACTGAGGTGAAGAAAAAAATTCAAGCAGTAACGCTTCTGTTCACTTGTGAGAGTTTTGGCTATGCCTAAACAACTGCTTCTGTGCTTGTTTGAGTCTGAGTGGGGAACAAAGTTATAAACAACCATGATGCTTGAAATGTCATAATGTTTACCATTCACTAATAGCCTCTCTACAAATACCAAATATGACCAACAGAACTGACAAAAGTAAGCTAGTAACGGATTCATTTGGTGACAACAGTTCAACAATTGTTGGCTTTGCTGTTTGTGATGCCAAGAACAATCACTTGAAGACGGTGACACTATTTTAAAAAGTTCCACTTAACTCTACGCTAATGTGCTTGACTACAACATTTAGCTTCTTCAGCAAAAACCTTTTGTGATGGACTTTGTGGAGGATGTTAATGATTATCTGCTGAACAAAAGTCAAGCCAGTGTGGTGGCATACGATTGTGTAAAGCATGACATAACTCTTCATTTAATGTTTTGGATATCTGATTTTCTTTTGTTGTTTTTAATAGCTGCAAGCTATCATCATCAGAATTGTTGTTTGTAAAACAAACTTATTTAATTAGCCTCACTTTCAATTTAATTCAACTGTATTGAACTTCCAAGGAAAAAAAATTGTAGTGATATTCTCCTTTATTGAGAT